CAGCAGGCAGGTCAGGAGAGGTCTGCCGCACCATGTGGATCAGCGTCCTGGCTGGGGATCAAACTCCTGCTGCAGTGACTTCTGAGAGCTTCATAGTGCAGTGATGTAACCTATTGCGCCACCAGGGAGAGCCCTAGTGAATATTTTTTTTAAATAATTCCCATCAGTCAGATATTGTGCTAAATCCTAGAGAAAGTCAGATATAGAAAGTCTGTTTGGTAAAGAGAGAGAGTGATCTGTTAAGTTTCAGAAGCTTAGTGGTTGTGGGCATGGTCTCTGAATCCAGACTCTTTCAGATCCATCTCTGCTACTTATTAGCTGTGTGACCTTTGTGCTGGTTAAATGTTGGCTGGTACAGTTTGTGTAGGAAAAATAGAGGCTACAATGAGAGTGCTGAAAAAGAAATGACTCTCCTTTGGTGAGACTGTGGGACAGGGGGTGTTTTGAAGAAGAAGTAATGCCAGACATGGTTTGAAGTACAAGTAGGTGTTTATTACATGGACAAGAAAAGGAAGACAGAGCAGTGTACAGACAAAGAGACTTCACAGCATGAATTCAGAGAACACCAGGAAAATGTTCCTGGTGAACATCTGAAATGGTGATTAGTGGGAGGTGAGAATGGAGCAACAGGGGAAATTGTATCAAGAAGGTCTGTGCAAGAGACTTCACCAGAGACTAGAAACTGTTTCCTTTAATCTGTCTATCTGTGATCAAAGTTGAGAAATACTGTTATGGAAACCAAGTATAGATGTGGATTAAAATAGTAACTGGTATTCTTGTGAGGAGGACAGAGAACTTTGAATGCATAAAATGCATAAAATCCTGAGACAGTGGAGATAAAGTAGATAAGCTTTTCTTACATTTGCATGACTATCTTTAAAAGTTTGCTAGTTCTGGACCTCCCTGGTGGTGCAAGAGCATTAGAAAATATTTGTCATGGAGTAGTAACCTTGTAAGAATTTGCCATTTTTAGTGAAATCAATAAAATTAGCTTTTCCTGCTGTCACAAATGGGGTATTTTTTCAGTTGATTTATTCAGTTCTAGCTGGTATAACAATAAATTTGGGTTGCTCTTTTGAAAATAAACACAGTTTTCTTGTTTCTATTATAACTTAATTGGTGGCAGTGATGGGTAGTTTTTCAAAGTGATCTCTTGCAGAGGGTTGGAAGTGCGTGTTTAAATGTGTACTGCAGGGAAAAGTGCAAACAGCGTTTACAGTCACTGATGAAAGGTCTTTTAGGCTTTAGACTGATCTTTGTGGTGCATGATGTATGAATCTTAGGTATTATTCTGATCTTTGAAACTTGGTGTGACTACTTAAGCCTACATACCTTCTTCCAGTTATTTTATTGAATTGCCAACAAGCTTGCAGTTATCACCATTTCAGTTTACTTTAAAGCAATATTACATTCACTAGATTTAAAATCTTGTTGTTAATGCATTATAATTTTGTTTTCTAGTTTTTCCTTTGGGATAATTTCCTCCTCATCTTTTCAGTGACTTTCTTTTCTTTTCATTCTATTATCGCATTCCCTAATGATGTTCCACTGCTCTTATCTTCTCTCTTTCTCCTTACCCCCTATCCTCAAGCTCTGGCACTGGCTAAATAAGAAGGTAAATGAACACATGGATGTTGACTTTTACTGTTGAAATTCTGTAAACTCACTCCTTACCTCCTTTTTCACCTTGTATTTCTGTCTATATGTCAACTTACGTTTTTGTCTTTAAAGTTCTAACTGTAAGCTATGGAAGGTCATGCATCATTAATACTGTCACAGTATAATTCGCTAAAAACTCAAGGGCTTTTTAGAATATAGATGGTATCTCCTTTCCCAAGTATTTGTAAGAAGTTCTGTCTTGTAGTCCTATTTGTCCACTGTGATTTCCATTCTTCAACTCTATTATGTGACCCAGCCTGATACTTAGTCTCCATTGAGGTGGTAGAGCACATTAGGCAATAGTTACTGACAAAGGGAGAGCAGTCCACGTGACTTTTCTCCATAAATGACAAAAGAAATTTTTAAAGGAGTACATCTGTGAAATATTTGTCTGCTTCTCTTGGCTAGTAATATGTGTGTGTGTGTGTGTGTGTTTTAATAAATACTTAAATTTTATTTTTTATCTTAAAAACTATTTAAAACTATTAAAAACTATCTTAAAAACTATTGTAATCATGGCCTGTGACATTTAATTTCATGTTATTTCCCAAAGTTTGAAGCTGTGCATATGGCAAATGCTTCACACGATTGTCATGGAATCACAATAGGTATATTTTTGATAATTTCAGTAAAGACTAACGTAGATATATTAGGAGTTCCATATCTCTGACATAGAGTCCATATATTGAATTAAGTTCTAGACTTAATTTCATTAAATCTTTGGGGCAGATAGCAAGAGATAACATCTTTTGCAAGAATTGTGTTTAAACACAAAAGTATTTAGTAAGATTCTATAGTAGGTTTTCAGGAAGATGTGGCACCTCTTAGAAAAATGGATCTTAATGAGACGTTTGAGTGTAGAGATTAGGATTTCATTCTTCCTGTTGTAATAGAGGAAACGGGAGACATTTAACAATGCCTGAAGTTTTAAACTTTGAAGATAAACTGTGTGAAATATATAAACACATATACCACCATCACACACATGTGACTGTATATGCCTTCATTTTCAAAACTAGTATGAGGAAATGAGTTTAATCCCTGGCAAATGACAGTGCTGGGAATATTGGACACATTTCCTTATTCTGATCACTTAGGATCTTTAGATGCGAATATAAATTTATTGATATATGCACATTTTAAAGAATGATTGCCCTTCACATTTGAAACATCTAGAATGTCACTTTAAAATTACTCCCCACCCCCTATAAAAATAAAGTTTAAAAAAATTAAAACAACTCTAGAGCATAGAAGACAGGAAGTTATTGAAGACATGGCTTGGTTTCCAGGCTCATGGCAGTGGTGACAGATGGTGCCATTTCCTTAGCCCAGAGTAGGGTCAGGAGCATCTCCAGGATTTTTGGGAATTCTCGCCTGTTTCCTTCCCCTTCCTCTATTGCTTATTCTCAAAGTTTCTCTTCCTGTGTCTATCTATTTCTGTTTCCTTGTGAGTCTTCTTATTCATTCTTTTGGGGACTCTTCTCCAAATTTTTTATTTGCTTTATTTTTTCACTATCAGCCCTTAGCTCTGTGTACCAATTCCCCTCCCCATGTTTTTAACTGTTTTCCTGTCTCTTTTCCATGCTTTTCTCTCTTTTGTTATCTTCCTTTTTATCCTATTTTTACCTGATCTTAGCTAGCTGTATTGGGAATAGAAAACCCATCAAAATTTTAGCTTATATATTGAGCAATCTTATTTCTTTTAAATTTTGAGGGAAATATTTAACTCTCATGCTGATCCTTGAATATACATTTTTACTTATAGAAGATTTTGTATAAATTTTTTTCAACCTATGGGCACCATGGGCATATGGCTTGTGATAGGAAACTCCTACTCTGGTTTAAAATTATAATGTTGGCATACATAGTATGTTTGTCAATAGTCCATGTTTTATATGTTTAAAATACCTAACATAAATTTAGATAATTACAACTGTTAAATAAAATATTGTTTACATTAAAAAATATATTTAAAGGTGTGAGGCTTTCAAGTTATTTTCATAAATCATAATTTGGGAACACAAACCTAGCCTTAATCCTGAAATGGCTTTGTGCTTGCCCATTTAAGTATATATTTACTGAGCACTTCAATTGCTCTTGCACTATTGGGTTTCGGGGATCTTAAGAGGATTAATAGAACACCAGTCCCTTTCTCAGGAAATTGTCTCAAGAATTAGGGAAAGTTGGTTTCTAATTGTGAGACGTTTCAGTTTCGTTGATTACAGAACGTGCATTTAAAGTATGAGACCTGACCTTCCATATCTTAGAAACCTATTATTTTATTTATCTCTGCATTATCATCAATGCCTTGGTAGCATGCACTGAAAATTAGCTCTTCTGTGTGAAGCTGTAATTGGCAAGATTGAAGATGAACTTTTTATTTTTGAGTTAACATTGCATTGATATCTTAAAGACAGTATTCTTCATGAAAGATAAGGAGATGTAAGCTGATAAGCATTGAGTGGGAAATGTATTTAAGAATTCATGTTCTTTTTTAACCATCATTCCTTACTCTTGGAATGATTATTTTAAATCTCTGTTTGGAGAGCACATTTTAAATTTAAATTTAAGAATAATTTATTCAACAGTATTGTAGGTTCTTTGGGGTAGAGGGGTGCAATGTGATGTTTCAGGAGTCTTTAGTTTCATCGATTGTATTTTTGAAATATTAAATGGTAGCTTTGCATGGCAGAAATTTTGGAATCTTACCAGAATTATTAAATATTCTGAAGACAAAAAGAATTTAAATTTAAATATATTTAAAACAATGTCAAATAGTATTTAGGCAGAGCATAATTTTAATTATTAAGGAATAACCACTATATCAGTAGTCTTTCTTGATTTATAATTGCTGTAATTATAAAGCTTAATTTTTTAAAAAGAGTAGGAATTATAAGTGAAATATTGGAATTTTTTAAAGTATTATGACATGTTTTAAATATGAAAAAGTATGCAAAACTGTAAAGAATACCTAGGAACTTTATAGACATTACCTAGGTAACGAAATCCGTTTTAAACCCTTCTCTGCTGTGACTACCTCTCAACCCTTAGCCTTCAGCATAGTGTTTTGAAACTTACTTGTGAATGTCCTTATCACATTGTTACTGTTCATATTTTTGTAACCCTAATGACATGAACAGGAAAAACCTTTTTGATGTAATATATATATTTTTTACTAATATAATAGCTTATGTTTACATCATTTGGTGCCTCTTTCCATCTCAGTTGTAATCCCCATGGGCTTCCCATCACCAAATCACCCTTGTGCCATCACCTTAGTGATGTAATTCTTAACTGTGTAATTCAAGAAATGTGGTTTGTAAGGGACATCTTCGACAGTTATCCATGTTTGCTGATTGATAGTAAAACTATATAATATTTGAGATGAGCTAATGGATTGTCATTTTTTTCAGAATATTTACCATCTGGTAAATTATCATCTGAAATGTAAATATACAGTAGTAGAATCCAAACACAGATGTAGATTATCTTCAAGTTGGCAGCCTTTCCTGAGATATCACAATAATAAACTAAGCAATGATTAATAATGCTTAATTTTCTTAAGTAGCTTACAGCTTTCACTGCTTTAATCATTAAGCTATAGTTTGCTTTACAGTGCTGAATATTTTATCCTCTTGATATTTGAATATGCATAAGTTTTTACTAAGTGTACTTGAAAGATAAATCACTCTCTTTTTTTTTCTGTGCAGATGATCATCTGGTTGGAGAAGATGTTAGACAAAATAATTAGCATTTTCATCATATTTTTGTTAGTGATAGGAACACTTCTTTTAGCCCTACTCCTAACTGCAAAGGTAGAGTACAATTACTGTTACTATTAACAATACTTAATTGTTAGAATTATAATAGAGAAGAAGCTAGAAGAAGCAGATGAAAAATGTTACTTTGCTATAAATATGTTTAGCAATTAATGTGTGATTATTATTAGCTGTCAATGAATTTAGCTAGTATATTTTTTTATGTGCATCTTTATCATCAAGATGCTTAGGGGTTAAATGTGGATGGAAAAATAGAGGTATAGAGCAACAAGTAACTTATCTCAATAGAACTGTGATCTGGTCTCAGGTCACCGAATGCAGTTAGTACACTCTTAACTAGATTAGAAGTTGATTAGCTCGTTCCTCCATGTCTCATTGGTCTTTCTGCTGATAGGCTGCCCTGGAACCTTTATTTCCTACTTTCCAGTACAGATTCCAGTTTCTATTTCCTCTCTCCCCTCCTGGTCTGGGCTGACCAGGGTCTAAATGAGTCCCATGTGGTTTAAACAGCAGACATTTCTTCACCTCAGTTCTGGAGACTAGAAGTCAAAGAACAATGTGCCAGCTTGGCAGTGTTCTTAGTCGAAACCTTCTTTCTGATTTAATACTCCCCTGTATCCTCACGAGCGAAGAGAAAGATCATCTCTCTTATGCTATAAGGGTACAGAATTCTTTCATCATGAAGGCTCTACCCTTATGACCTAACTTCTTAAGTACCCTACCTCTTCTTAACCATGGAACTTATGTGCATTTCACCTCCTAACACCCCCTTTCCTCAAACAAACTTATTCTAAGTGCAGCTACATTTTTTTCTATAGTGAGTTCTTATTTTTTGTCATGTATCTTCATCTTTATTTAATATGACCTCTACATCTCAGCTTTTAACAAATTGTTTTCCAGGAATTATGAAGCTTACATGAATTTGTGGATATGGAAAATTTCCATATAGTGCTGTAGAGATACGGCGGTAACTATTAACAGTAGATAACCTTGTGTGGCAATTTTCTAAAGAATTGCATTGTTTCTGGCGATGTGAATCTCTACTCCAAAGTCCTGTTGTTAGTCATTGTCAGCTTTAATATACCCTTAGTCTTATTTGTTCCTAATAGACTGTTCTCTCCCTCCTCTGTGTCAGTCTCTGTATAGTAATTATTTGGTTTTTGTATGTGAATCACATGGTCACATACAGACTGTACAGATTGTTTTGAGGCCTTTCATTGTTTTTGTCACATGTTGCCTGAACCTCCACTGTGCTATCTTTCTTCTTGGAGAAACCCTTCATCAGTATCATCTTCCGTTTTCCTTTTCTTCTCTCATCTCCTCTTCTTCTGTTCCACTTTTCCTTTGTCCCTTTGCATAGGATATTCTTGCTTGCCTAATCTCAATTAGGTTCATCTTTCAAATCTTTTTTCTTTTTTCATCCCAGCCTCTTATGAGCTTGGATAACACGTATTACAGAACCACTTCTTTGTGGTTGAGGATTATGCAAAGCGAGCTTTGAAGAAAACTTACTGGCCATCTACTTCTTTCTCTTATCATCCAAAAGAGGTTATTCTCCAAAGCACCTTGACAGTATGCAGCTGAATGTCTAATAGATATGTCAAGTGTAACTTGTTAAAAACTGAATTCTAGACTTCCCCTAACTTTTCTAATCTCAGCATCTGCCATTCCTGTGAATGAACTCCATTCTTCTTGCTCAGGTAAAAAGCCTCAAAAATTTTATTGAAATTTTTATTATATTTCTCAGCTCTTACCAAATCCCAGGCAGAGGGTAGAGGTTTCTAATGTGATGTATCTGAGCATAACTTTTGCCAAAATCATTTTGCTAACAACTAAATTATGTAGGTTCAGTGAAAGCCCTTAGAGAGTTAGCCTTCCCCCCACCTCCCACTTTTCTTTAAAGATAAACTAAAAATACTGAGCAAAGACGTCAGTGACAGGGACATAGATTTTGCAGTTTGAATACAGATAAAATTGCTTATGAAACAAAATAGCAACAGTTCTCAGAAGGTCAAACCAGAATTGCCACAACACTTTTTGTTTACATCCAATTGTTAAACAAGAGTTTCTAGACGTATAATTGAAACACAAAATTATAATTCATACTCAGGGAAAAAACATTGGCTTGTTCCTTTTTTTATTCCTCTCATTTTGTGTTAGACAGGGTTAATTCTGAGGTGCAATTTCAGTTGACTTGTTTAACTCACAAACATTGCTCAGTTGCTTATTTAATTGTAGGTCTCGTGTTGCCTTACAGTTCCATAAGTTCACATTGTATCGTTAGTGCTCTTATTACATATAGATACACACCCTGTATATGCACACACATATGTAAACTAAATGTATATATGTGGCCTCGTGTAAATACTTACAAATTTCTAGTTAGAGGTTTTTTTTCCCTTAAATAAAGTGTTGAGCTTCTTCAAGGTTGGGAAGTCTCATGAACTTTCGGTTTCCACAGTATATGTCAAATGATATGTATATTGTTCAGAGTATGTTTCTATAATTGAAGTAAGATGTGTAATTCTTTGATTGTAAAAATCACTGTTTCAATAAATAGTATTGAGAAATTCTTTTTTCTCTTGTCTGTAATACAGGTACATCAAGAAAGTGTACACATGATTGAAGTCACAAGCAGTTTGATTAATGAAACTCTAGCAAATCACCCTGAGTGGGCAAAGTAAGAATACTGTTTTGACAAATATAGAAATGGCTGACTTAGGTTCCGTATCTGTGCATGTTCTGACGACAATCAGTAAGATTTTTTTCTCAGACCTAATACACATTCATTAGTTATTAAATATTTATACACATATCTCTGTGAGTTCTCACACTTCTGAGTGACACAAAAACTTGTTAATTTTTAACACTATCAGACATAATTTTCCTCATAAAGATGTAGTATCATATGTTCAGCAGTCCCTCCAAACCATGAATGAATCCATTAATACTAGAACAGTTTAAAAGTTACTTCATTTCTCACAGTTCCTGTGTGTTTAGAAACCTAAACTTGTTCATGTACTATGAGATTATTACATTTGTAAGGGCCTCTAAAATTTTATCTTGCTGAGGAATATTTGAACTGGGAATTTGCTAAGAAAAAAGGTTCGCATTTTAATTTTATTTGGAGTCTAGGATGAACTGGTTAATAGTAAAGATTGAAGCTGCTATCATTTGATCATTTGACATTCTACTTTTTAATTTCTCTGAAATGTCTTTTCTCTGGCTGAAGACGATCACTTTCCTAGGTGTCATCACTTCCATGGCTGTTTCTGGCAGTGGCCTTTCTCTTTATGATTGTTTCATACATGTGCATATAAGCAGTTTATCATTCTGACTTCTGTATAAATCACCAGTATATGTAGCTACTGTGAGTGCAGGGTATTGCACGTTTGACTTGACTCACTATTTGTCTCCCACATGCCAGGTTTGTAGCATATTTGGGCCTTAGGAAAATGTTTAGTAACTGCTTGCCATGGTCTTTGGCATCACTCATGAAGAGCTGAAAAAGACTGTCAAATTTGTGAAGTCAGCAGCTCTAGTAAACAGTAGTATGGGGAGAATCAGAGTATGTGAAAACATTCTCTCCATAGGGTAATGCTGGGTATGTTTAGTGTGTTATTAGGGCCAATGAAACAGCCCATTTAGTAAACAGAAAAAATGGGGATGCCACCTCTCACTGCACAAGGAGTCAAACTTGTTGATTGCAGTTCTTGTACTGCTGGAACTCTGCTCAGGAGTTCCTCATGTCAAGAGTGGGTAAAAAATTTAAAACCATGACTCATCTTTAGTTTCCTTCCTCAATTAGTTTCTTCCTTAGATCAGTGATACTCAAATTTTAGCATGCAATAGTGTCACCTGCAGGCTTCTTAAGTAACAGACTGCTGGGCCCTAACCCAGAGTTCCCTTTTGGTATATCTGGGTTGGGTTCAAGAATTAGCATGATCACTGGTTTCTTAACACTTTTTTTTTTTTTAAATTGAAGTAGCATTGCATTAAAACATTATGCATTTGGGGTGTCTATCATTGAAAATCAACATGTGCATATACTATCCCAAGCAGTTCTGATCCTACTGCTCTGAGGACCACACTTTGAGTTCCACTGACTATCCCATTGTCCCAGAACAGCTTCCTCTGGAGCTGAATAAGACAGATGGCCTAGGATATACATGGAGAGAGAAAGCAGGTAGAGCAGAATGACAGGGAGGTTGTAGGGGAAATGGGCTAAAAGCTAAAGAAAGTGTGAAGTGAAAAGCTGAATGTTCGAATAAGACCAGTTCGGCCTGGAAGTCAGGGATTCCTGTCTGTGATTCATTTGTATCTCTGTGGTAACTGGTCATCAGTTTGTTAGTTGCTGATTTTTAAATACACTGAATGTCAAGAGTTATTGGTACAGTATACTAAAAGTGCACTTTTCTTTCTTCATTGTCATTTAGCTGGCTTCCTGAGGCTCAGGTAGTCCAAAGAGCCCTCAATTCTGCAGCTAACAATGTGTACCAATATGGACGAGAATGGATAACTCACAAGGTAAGGAAAGAATCTCTTTTTGTGGCTTGCTTTTTGGAGCCACTTTTTGATAAAGCTTAAGTGGAGATTCTGTTTAGAATAATTTCTATTTTTGAGATAGACTTAAATCTTTAAGTCAACAAACAATAGATAATGAAATTAAAACTTCTGGATTATCATATTAAGTAGTGTCAACTGCCTAAAAAGTATGAGAGATTGGTCATTTGCTTCTTGTTCAAAATAGACCTGATTCTTTATTTCTATAGGAGGATAGAATGATCACTAAGCTAGGGGGTTCAAATAAGACTTTGGGGGAAAAAAGTATTAGCACATATTAAATTTTATTATCCATTGAGATAAGTGTACTTGGCAGCTTCCAATTTATTTACCTTAATCTTTTTTTAAAAAAAGTGTAGTAGTCTGAATTATTTTGCCCACTGTGCAGATGAAGAAACATACTCTGCAAAGATAAGCATGTTCCTGGTGGTGATGTAATACATGGCACACTATGCTTTCATACTGTAAACTAATTCCAAATCCTTAACTCTTTTTAGTATAGTATGCTAGAAACTAGATTGAGTATTTAATGTGGCACTTGAGATAAATCTGAAGGAATGACAGGCATTAGATGAATAAAAGGTAGTATGTATTTCAATAAGAGGTGGTTATCTGAGACAGCAGTGTGCTAGAGGAGGTGCATTTGACCTTTATGAAAGGAAAATAAAAGATAGAGGGAAAGATAGAAGCAGCAGAGTTAAGGATCAGACTCCATGATAGAGTCATGATATCCTTCAGTATTCAGTATTGCCTATGGAATAAGAGATAATTAGAAACTTTAATGTATTGAAGTAATTAGGTTCATGTGGGGATTGACCATCTACACAGACTATATCTTGGTAGTGAGTAAATAATACCAAAAGTTTATGAACTGGGACCTCCCTGGTGGCACAGCGGGTTAAAGTACAGCACTAAGAAGCTAAAGCCATTTCCGCATGAGTTCGAT